AAATAACAAATGGAAAAGATCTTACGAATCGCGGTGTTGCCAAGATTACTGTTATGCCTGTGAATATCTTTCGTATTAAGATTGGTACAGAATCTCAAAAAATATAACAACTGTGAGTGTGTACGAGTGTCCGATTTAAACTGTTTGGTTATTTTTTAACAGACCTGGTATGTTTTTAATTATTTCTTTCATCGTTTATTTTTATCAAATCCGTACACAGTACTGGTTCATATAGGATACTAAAAAATTTCGTCAAGTAGATTGACCGCGGATTCGACATAACTTCTGATAGTTCTCCATGCCAAGCAGTGACATCAAAAAGATGGTTTTGTCAGAACAAGCATTGCACTTTTTGGGCTTTACATCAAAAATAAATGTATTCTTGCCAAAAAGGCACAAATGGGAACGTGAACGCAACATATCTTATAATACGCTTTTTGGATCGCTGAAACCGAATCCTTGGCCCATTCCGTCCGAAAATGCCTCGTTTTCAAGATACCGGCAAGAATTCAACTTTGTCAAAAAACGACTAATAAAAAATTTCTAAAAACCCTTGCGCGTCTATGATCGAGATGGAAACTTGTTTTCTGGGTAAATCGGGTGCGTAGATTCCAAATTCGATGTCGATACATTGCTAGAATTTACGGCTAGCCCGGAAAAATAGTTTCTCGTCAACTTTTTACCCTAAATCCAGTCTGATAAGACTTAAGAAATTTTTCACTGCCTAGTTTTGTATTTTTTCGCTAAGTCATTGGATCTACAGCATAAACGGGATCACATACATGTAAAACGACCTCGAATTCGATATTGGCAGCCCAAAATACACGGAATAAGGGTCATGTGAACCGCATTTAAAGCATTTTAACATATTCTTACCATGGAGGGGTATTCTTACCAAAAAGGCACAAAATGGGTCAGTCGGGAACGTGAACGCAACATATCTTATAATACGCTCTTTGGGTCGCTGAAACCGAATCCATGACCCATTCCGTCCGAAAATGCCTCGTTTTCAAGATACCGGCAAGAATTCAACTTTGTCAAAAAACGACTAATAAAAAATTTCTAAAAACCCTTGCGCGTCTATGATCGAGATGGAAACTTGTTTTCTGGGTAAATCGGGTGCGTAGATTCAAAATTCGATGTCGATACATTGCTAGAACTTACGGCTAGCCCGGAAAAACAGTTTCTTGTCAACTTTTTACCCTAAATCCAGTCTGATGACACTTAAGAAATTTTTCACTGTGATACTTATAGATATTCAGCGCCCCAAATTATCTCATTGTTCAAAGCTCCGCTCTCATGTAGCCATTGATAGTAAAAATGGATATTTAGCACCTTCAAGTCGCAAAAAACGCCTAGTTTTGCAATTTTTCGCTAAGAAATTAGATCTACATCATAAACGGAATCATATACATGTAAAACGACCTCGGATTCGATATTGGCAGCCCAAAATACGTGGAATAAGGGTCATTTGAACCGCATTTAAAGCATTTTAACATATACTTACCATGTTTAGGGGTATTCTTACCAAAAAGGCACAAAATGGGTCAGTCGGGAACGTGAACGCAACATTTCTCATAATACGCTCTTTGGGTTGCTGAAACCGAATCCATGGCCCATTCCGTCCGAAAATGCCTCGTTTTCAAGATACCGGCAAGAATTCAACTTTGTCAAAAAACGACTAATAAAAAATTTCCAAAAACCCTTACGCATCTATGATCGAGATGGAAACTTGTTTTCTGGGTAAATCGGGTGGGTAGATTCCAAATTCGATGTCGATACATTGCTAGAATTTACGGCTAGCCCGGAAAAATAGTTTCTTGTCAACTTTTTACCCTAAAAATGGATTTTTAGCACCTTAAAGTCGCAAAAAACGCCTAGTTTTGCAATTTTTCGCTAAGTAATTAGATCTACGTTGGCAGCCCAAAATACGTTGAATAAGGGTCATTTGAACCGCATTTAAAGCATTTTAACATATACTTAGGTACCATGTAGGGGTATTCTTACCAAAAAGGCACAAAATGGGTCAGTCGGGAACGTGAACGCAACATATCTTATAATACGCTCTTTGGGTCGCTGAAACCGAATCCATGGCCCATTCCGTCCGAAAATGCCTCGTTTTCAAGATACCGGCAAGAATTCAACTTTGTCAAAAAACGACTAATAAAAAATTTCTAAAAACCCTTGCGCGTCTATGATCGAGATGGAAACTTGTTTTCTGGGTAAATCGGGTGCGTAGATTCCAAATTCGATGTCGTTACATTGCTAGAATTTACGGCTAGCCCGGAAAAATAGTTTCTTGTGAACTTTTTACCCTAAATCCAGGCTGATAACACTTAAGAAATTTTTCACTGCGATATTCATATTCAGCGCCCCAAAGTGCCTCATTTTTAGCACCTTAAAGTCGCAAAAAACGCCTAGTTTTGCAATGTTTCGCTAAGAAATTAGATCTACATCATAAACGGGATCACATACATGTAAAAATCCGTGGAATAAGGGTCATTTGAATCGCATTTAAAGCATTTTAACATATACTTACCATGTATAGAGGTATTCTTACCAAAAAGGCACAAAATGGCTCAATCGGGAACGTGAACGCAACATTTCTTATAATACGCTCTTTGGGTCGCTGAAACCGAATCCATGGCCCATTCCGTCCGAAAATGCCTCGTTTTCAAGATACCGGCAAGAATTCAACTTTGTCAAAAAACGACTAATAAAAAATTTCTAAAAACCCTTGCGCGTCTATGATCGAGATGGAAACTTGTTTTCTGGGTAAATCGGGTGCGTAGATTCCAAATTCGATGTCGATACATTGCTAGAATTTACGGCTAGCCCGGAAAAATAGTTTCTTGTCAACTTTTTACCCTAAATCCAGTCTGATAACACTTAAGAAATTTTTCACTGCGATATTCATATTCAGCGCCCAAAAGTGCCTCATTTTTAGCACCTTAAAGTCGCAAAAAAACGCATAGTTTTGCAATTTTTCGCTAAGTAATTAGATCTACATCATAAACGGGATCACATACATGTAAAAATACGTGGAATAAGGGTCATTTGAACCGCATTTAAAGCATTTTAACATATTCTTACCATGTAGGGGTATTCTTATCAAAAAGGCACAAAATGGGTCAGTCGGGAACGCGAACGCAACATATCTTATAATACGCTCTTTGGGTCGCTGAAACCGAATCCATGGCCCATTCCGTCCGAAAATGCCTCGTGTTCAAGATACCGGCAAGAATTCAACTTTGTCAAAAAACGACTAATAAAAAAATTCTAAAAACACTTGCGCGTCTATGATCCAGATGGAAACTTGTTTCATGGGTAAATCGGGTGCGTAGATTCCAAATTCGATGTCGATACATTGCTAGAATTTACGGATAGCCCGGAAAAATAGTTTCTTGTCAACTTTTTACCCTAAATCCAGTCTGATAGCACTTAAGCAATTTTTCACTGTGATACTTATTCATATTCAGCACCCCAAATTATCTCATTGTTCAAAGCTCCGCTCTCATGTAGCCATCGTAAAAATGGATTTTTAACACCTTAAAGTCGCAAAAAACGCCTAGTTTTGCAATTTTTCGCTAAGAAATTAGAACTACATCATAAACGGGATCACATACATGTAAAACGACCTCGGATTCGATATTGGCAGCCGAAGATACGTGGAATAAGGGTCATTTGAACCGCATTTAAAGCATTTTAACATATACTTACCATGTATTCTTACCAAAAAGGCACAAAATGGGTCAGTCGGGAACGTGAACGCAACATTTCTTATAATACGCTCTTTGGGTCGCTGAAACCGAATCCATGGCCCATTCCGTCCGAAAATGCATCGTTTTCAAGATACCGGCAAGAATTCAACTTTGTCAAAAAACGACTAATAAAAAATTTCTAAAAACCCTTGCGCGTCTATGATCGAGATGGAAACTTGTTTTCTGGGTTAATCGGGTGCGTAGATTCCAAATTCGATGTCGATAAATTGCTAGAATTTACGGCTAGCCCGGAAAAATAGTTTCTCGTCAACTTTTTACCCTAAATCCAGTCTGATAACACTTAAGAAATTTTTCACTGCGATATTCACATTCAGCGCCCCAAATTATCTCATTGTTCAAAGCTCCGCTCTCATGTAGCCATCGATAGTAAAAATGAATTTTTAGCACCTTAAAGTCGCAAAAAACGCCTAGTTTTGCAATTTTTCGCTAAGAAGTTATATATACATCATAAACGGGATCACATACATGTAAAACGATCTCAGATTCGATATTGGCAGCCCAAGATACGTGGAATAAGGGTCATTTGAACCGCATTTAAAGCATTTTAACATATACTTACCATACCATGTATTGATTCAGATTGCAGTAACGAACGTGTCCGTACGCGATAGCCTATTTTTTTGGATCTGTGGTTTAAAACTGCTTGTCAACAAATTAGATTATAATAGCTCTTGATACGTACTCACGAGCCCTAACACAAAAATGTTCTGATATTATCTGATTTTATCGTAAAGTTTGTTTATTTTTGTAGGGTTAAAATATGATATTGAAATATAAAATCAAACTAATATCGATAACAACGCAACATTTTGCTGACACATGTCAAATGCTCGGACACGATATAAAAAAAACTGAAAAAATACGCTATAATAGATAACTAAAAAGTAGAAAATAATTTTAGATATCAAAGTAGTAGATGGTCGCTGATAAAAGCGTCTTAATAATAGCAGGCCATGGAAACAAAAGAATGTTTTATGTTTGTTGCACTTTTCGCATACTTGGTTTTAGGTTTACTGAAAAGCTCCATTTTCAAAATGATGACTGATAGTACAGTCTTTTTTAATCAAGAGATTAACTGTCTTATTTCTTCCAAAAAGTAACTTAGATACACAGAAAGTACTTGGAACAATCTAAATAAAAGTGATTGCTATCGGTCTGGTTACTTTCCGTTGGTGCCTGCAAATAAGTGGGGATGAACTCAATGAGGCACAATCAGGATACTTTTATAGAATGTGATTTATTAATTAGACACCTAGTATTAACAATATACACTAATATGTATCTTGGATGGTTTTTTACAGCGATATAGTAGTTTTTGTACAAATAGTTTGTACGAGAACTAGGCATATTTTGATCCAATTTTTGTCAAAAACTATCACCAGCTCGTTCCATTTTTACTTTCTGTACATTCCAGACGGGCACATGGTGAGAATTTTTGAGAAAACGAAAACACATTGGACAGAACAGTGTATTGTTTCGATATATACAAGCATACAACTTACAAGTTCTTCATACAAGTAAAATCCGTTTCATGTCAACTTTTAACAAATAACGGCAAGAAAATGGCTGTGATTAACAAAAAAGTGATGAAACCATACATTTTTTTTTGGTAGCAATTTGCAGATATCTATTTATTTGTTAAAAGGACTATAGTACATTGATATATAAATAAAAAAGGTTTCGAGCTAATCTTTCCACCCTAGTGGCCCCGGACCGTATCCTTGTGGCCCACATCGGCAGATAAATTGATATTTGTCGCAGCATAGCTTGGCACTTAGTAATCTTTCAATGTACAGTGAGTAGAATTGTGCTGTTTGGATATAAATAAAACATGACAATTTAGTGATATTTACATGTTACGATGTGTACAGAAAAATGCCACTTGAAGCAATATATACAGGGTACGAAAAGAATAACTATACCGATTGCACAGATGTCTGATATACACTAAGAGAAACCATACTATAAATTTATGCCAAAAATTACAATTATTTTACATTTTCGATGAAATCAAATAGCGAATCATGTGTACAGTATCTTTATATTTCTCTAGGTGCAAGAATTTCATTCATAATAGTCACTTGCACGACTTAACTATGCACGAATTTCTTTGATAAAACAATGATAACGTTTGGTTGAAATAGTTTTGATGTATAGCTTCGCCTGAAAGAACAGTGATATTAAAATAGAGGTAAAATGGCAATAAACACCTAACTAGAGAGGGATAGAGGTGTCGAATATCTTGCTACTGATGATACTGGTTGTAATGTAGTTTGGACGGACTTGCTCTCAAGGTGTTGATTGCTTTTGTCACTGCGCGATCTCAGTAACTGCTATAACGATTTTGATGTCTGCTGAGAGATACAGTTCGTATGGATATGAATGATGGGCTTCAATCCATTTGGTACATGTTTTAATGATTTTATGAGTATACGATAATAAGTCAATATTCTAAATCGTCTCATGTTGACAAGATATATGTATACAGAACACTAAAGTTCTATTTACGAAGCCAAAAGGGAAATATTTGGTACATGTAGTGAGTACGGAATATGCGGTATATTCAAAGAAATTTTAGACTTAAACTTGACTGTAATTAAAAACTGCGATCTTTTCCACCTATATTGATATTTCTTCGCATCGTATCTGGCAAATAGAACCCAGGCAGTCAGGGTGCAAGAAGTGGAGTCTCAGGAAAGGGAAATGTTCGTCGGAGTTCCACAGGGCTCAGTATTGGGACCTATATTATTCCTGTTCCACATTAACGGCTTGCCTTGGGCGTAGTTGCTGTTTTCGTCCTTTTTGCAGACGAAACCACTCTCTCCTTTACTGTACGCTCTCTAGATGAAGCATACATTTTAAAACTTTCATATTGTTGTTTGATGTCTTAGTCTCTGCCGCTTTTTTATTATTTTATTTTGATTTTAAGTCAGATTTGACCTTTGCATCTTTGACCTGTACATATGTAAATTGGCACCAATAAATTTTAATTTGAAATTTGAAGACATTTATTTTAAATTATACTTCAGAATGTTTTTTCTACCTCTCCCTCTTCCTAGAAATTCTACGCATTTGTATTGACCTTTTGGATGAAAAAATGACCTAGGACTCACATTTTCCAAATCTCATCCTGTTCCTTAACGGCCTTCCATCAAAACCAAATCAAGCAAAACATCCTCTCCCCCATCTACACTATATACACTCTGCTCAGTTGTCTCTGGCTCGTTTGGCCAGAGCCTTTGCCAGCTACCAGACCAGACCCTCGTTGAGTTGCTGAGGGTTGTCTGTGAATCCCCCCGCCGCCGCCGCCGCCGCTGCTGCCGCCGCCATGAACTCCGGGCTGCCCCCTCGCCCGTTGCCCGCGCCTCCGTTGTTAGGTCCGCCCCCGGGGGGCATCATGTCGCCGGCGCCGCCCATGAATTGGCCTCCGTCGCCGCCTGGCATGCCCCCCGGTCCGCCTCCAGGTCCGTTCGGGCCGTTGGGGCCGAAGTCGCCTCCCATGCCGCCCATCTGCGCGCCTGGATGGTCCATCGGTCCGCCTGCAACAAAATACACTATCAGATTGTGTAAAATAATGTCTGTAAAAGAATGTTAAGGCTGATTGTTAGTGTACAGTGATATCTTAAGGGGGCAGTCATACACAGAGTTTTTGTAATACAAAAAGTTGACGTCAAGTACGAGGGTTGACGCTAGGCGAAATCTGGTAACACCGTCATGTTTTTCGGCTACCCCACCAGCGATCCCAACAAGAAGCGCGATGCTCACTACCGGCCCGGAGCAGTTACCAAGTTTCTAAACGGGAATGCAAAAGTTAATTTCACGTCTAAAAAAATTCGTAGAGAAAAATTGCGACTATAACGAAAATAGCTTAAAGACCAACGTTTACAATGGTGAATTCGTTTTTTCAAATAAAAAATTCCTGGTGCCTGAAAAAAGTGAGCGAACCTCATGAAACAACCTTCATATATCCCCTTGGACACAATATATACTAAGTGACATATAAATCCGAACACCCAGTTTAAATGGTTTTATTTTAATAAAAGTTGGTGAATGTATTTATCTTACTGTAAATAACAAGTGAAAAAATTTTCAGCCTTATCAGTTGAACATTCCGGTTTTTATACTGCTTTCATTTAATTCACTAACGCTCTAAAAATGAATATTTCAGCCGTAGTAAAGAATCAACGTTGGCGGATTTTGGTTCTTGACATCCTTTACGATCGGTTACGATGCCTAGAGTACGGAGACCTGTACGATTTCGTCAACTTAGTGAGTTTGATAGGGGCCGTATAGTGGGACTTCGGGAAGCTGGACTTTCTTTTCGGGCAACTGCAGTTAGAGTGCAAAGAAGTGTAGACACTGTGGTTAGGTGTTGTCAGGCATGGCTTCGAGAAGGCCGTACGCAAAGAGCAAGGGGCACTGAACGCCGCCGTAGAACAACAGACCGTGAAGATCGCCGCCTAAGATTATTGGCCTTAAGGGACCGTTTCTCCACTACCAGGTCCATTGCAAATGAATGGTTTGCAGAACACGGAAGACCTATTGGCATGCGAAGTGTTTACCGACGAATGAGAAGTTTTGGCTTGTTTTCATACCGGCCACACTGGGTCCTCCCTTTAACTCGAGAACACCGACGTAATCGTCTTGAGTGGTGCAGACAACGGTCACTCTGGGATCAGGAATCGAACAGTATTGTCTTTAGTGACGAGTCTCGATTTTGTTTGGGCATGCACGATGGTCGTGCCAGGGTTAGAAGGCGACGTGGTGAAAGGAGGAATCCACAGTTTTTTGTTGAAAGACATGTTCATCACACTGTTGGAGTTATGGTTTCGGGGTGCTATAGCTTATGGTTCCAGGTCACCTTTAATCTTCATCAGAGGTAACATGAACGCGCAGCGTTATATCCACGAAGTTCTAGAACCCCATCTTTTACCCTATCTTGACACCCTGGCAGATCCAACTTTCCAACAAGATAATGCCAGACCACATGCTGCAAGAGTCACAATAGACTTCTTTCAACATAACGATGTCACATTGTTACCATGGCCACCAAGATCTCCCGACTTATCCCCAATTGAGCACGTGTGGGATATGATGGGTAGGAGATTGCTCAATTTGCAACGTCCTCCTCAGACTCTAGAAGCACTTCGAGAGGCGTTGGTGGTTGCCTGGAATGAGATACCATAGGGGGACATTGACCACCTGATCAGAAGCATGCCTAGGTGCGTTGGAGAATGCGTAGCACATCAGGGTGCATCCACACATTATTAAAGGTCAAAGGGCTTTAAAGCAGTGCAATCATTTTGAAATTTTTATCATTTACTTATTATGCTTCATTAAGTACTTATACAAAATTTTATTAAAGTAAAACCATTTAAACTGGGTCACTTAGTATATTTTGTCGTTATATTTATTCATTTTGACGTGTGCTTTGTGTTTATTCCATTGTAATCGTAAATGCGTTACTGTGGTACCTATAGAGATCTTTTTACTGTTTTTAATCTATCATTCAGAATTATCTCTCAAGTATACAAAAATCCATGAAAATCGATTCTACCGATTTCAACCTCTTACTAGTCTATATCCCTTACCTGCTTGTCCGAAAGGCATCCCTTGTCCAGGAGGTCCCCCACCAGGATGGTGTCCCCCGAAGAAGGGCCCGTCGTGCGGATGGAACGGTGGAGGGGGTCCCCCGTATCCGAACTCGAACTTTCCGTCAGCGGCAAAGTACGGGAATCCCGGAGGACCGTCTTCCAGTCCACCCGGAGACAGGTTCATGGGGAAGCCGCGCATTTTTCGGGAACCACCGAAGAAGGGACCCCTACCCATCGACGTTAGCTGTTTCAGTCGCCGCTCTTTGCTGCGTTTGTTTTGGAACCACACCTGAAACAAGAGAGAATTTGCTATTTAGGTGTGTGACCAGCCACCTTGTTGATCTGGTTTCTAAGCTAGCGTGGTATAGTTGTGGTCACCGTTCTTGGCGGTTACGTCATCACCGTCATATGAAATAAGTAAACAGATCGAGTCTTCGTGCACTGGGCCTTCGGTCTTCTCCGTTGATCGTATTTCCGGGCATTGTACAATTTTGTATTGAAGATTGATATACTATTCGTCATTGTCTGTCAGAGCGGTCCGTAGGACCTTTGCTCTTGGTTGATGTCTTGTAAGTCAGTAGGTCTGTCAGGTCTCGTTGGCCAGATACCAAACAAAGTCAGGGAGAAAGAAGGGAAGAAGAAAGGAAGGAGCGAGAGCAAAGAAAAAAGAAGTGCATCAATTTGAGTGGTGCCTTGGCAGTGCTAGTTAGTATTCGGCAATTTTAAATTGATCCTAAAATTAATTTTGGCATTGGTTGTTGAAGAAAAATTATAAGTTTGGTTGGACCTAAAGTCGCACGATTTAATTTTGTTCACAGTGCGAGTCGCGGCCTTGTGTGCTCGCGAACTTGCTCGACTGTGTAGTCTACTGACTCGCGCAACAAAGGGTTGTTATGCGATTCTGCTTGACTGTAACGTAGCTGCGCTTGTTGTTTGATGTAGTCCCTTAGGTAAGGGATGTCAAGGTCTCTGTGAAGGGTCTCGTTGGAAACATACCATGGGGCGTTAGTGATTGTACGCAAGGTTCTGTTCTGCAAAACCTGCAGGCTACGCAAATGCGTTTTGGCGAGAAAACACGAAGCCGCACTTGCGTAAGTGATCGCTGGTCTAATAACCATCTTGTATAGCCGAACTTAGTTGATCAAACTTAATTTTGATGTTCTACATAGTATAGGGTAGAGTTGCCGAAACGAGATTTGGAATTTAGTTTTTAACGCTTCAGTGTGCTTCTGCCAGGTTATCCCCTTGTCAAGAGTGACACCGAGATACTTAGCAGAGCTTTCCCATGGTACCCGAGCTCCATTCACTGAAACCTCAGACGCGGCGCCGCTACGTTTTTTAGTACAATAGATTGCCTGCGTTTTCGAATGATTAATTTTGATCAGCCACCGATTCGCCCATTCCAATACCTCGTCCACTGCACTTTGCAGCCTGTCGAGAATTAGATCCCCAGAGCACGACTGGGCCACCAGGGCAGTGTCATCAGCATGGAGATAGGTTTCACAGCTGCTGGGGCAAGGGACGTCATGAATACAAAGTGAATAAAGGACTGGTCCAAGAACTGAACCCTGAGGGACACCGGCTTCGATGGGCCGTGTGGTCGACAGAACGTTAATAATTTTGATCCGAAATTTCCTACCCTCGAGAAAGGATTTCAAAAGTTTTAGGAGCCAGAAGGGGAAGCCCTTGAGGTCTTTAATATGACCTTGGAGCTCTGCTGGTGTGCAATGCGGAGTCTCAGGAGATTCCGCTGATGTGCCGTGCAGCTCTTCAATTGAGGAATCTTCTGAAGATTCCTCTGAGGAAAAATCACTAAGGGAGGCACTACTGCCACTGACGCCGTTGGCCCTAAAATATCTCCTGACGAATCTTACAATATGTTGCTCCTCGTCGAGGTCATTGTCAAGGTCATAGCTGGGAGAGAACTGACTTTCCATTGCATCAGCGAAATCCTCGACCTCTTCTTCCGTCCTACAGACTATGCCCCTAGGACCGTGGACGTGCGGGAGTTGTTCTCGCCTTCCGTTTCTGAGCGACTTTGCAACTTTCCAGAGAGGAATACTTAAGTCGAGCATCCCCGACAGCAAGTCGAATTCATGAAGAGCGTTTCTCACTTCATGAACAAGATTCGTCGCTCTGTGAATGTCATCTGGGTGACAAGACCTCTTCGCTTGCTCAATTGCAGCTCTTTTGTCAGAAATTTTCTGACGAATGTCTGCAGGGAGAGGAAGATTGATAACAGGACACCTCGAATTGCACGCCGATGCCAAGTAAGTTGTCACTCTCACTGTGTCTGTCAATACGATTGAAGGGTAGCGAAACCGCTGGCTTCCATATTCAACCTAATTCTAAAATCAGAGACATATCCAAATATCTGGAAGACCTCTAAAATATGTCCTATTCACAAACGTGGAGATATCTCTGATATTTCCAAGTATCGCCAAATAGCAATCCGGTGCAATTTCAGCAAGTTGTTTGAGATCATCGTTTATGAAACGGTTTACTGCTCGGTCAGGAGTGCAGTCTCTATTAATCAGCATTGGTTTATGAGAGGCAGATCTACGGTCACCAACTTGGCTCTAATTACTCAGTACATTTCTGAAGTACTGGACGGTCAGGGACAAGTTGATGTCATCTACACAGATATTCAGAAGGCGTTTGATCAAGTTGATCATTATGCACCTCTGGATAAGCTTAAAACAGTGGGTATGTCTGATGCAATGGTGTCGCTCATTAATTCATATTTGAGGGATAGAAGGTTATTTGTCGAATATGGGGGTCATAGGTCGAGTTACTATCGGGCCACGTCCGGGGTACCTCAAGGGTCAAATCTAGGTCCATTATTGTTTTTGATATTTATGAATGACTTTTGAACTGAAATGTTTCCATTTGTTTTTCGCTGATGACCTTAACATCTGCACGTCAGTCAAGACAGTCGAGGATTGCGTCATGTTGCAAGATGACTTAGCTCTAATTTCGTCATTGTGTTCACGAAACTGTCTCAGTCTGAATGTTTCGAAATGTAAAGTTATGACTTATACAAGAAAGGTTAACTATTTAATTTATGATAATTATAACATCAATGGTCAGGTTATAGACAGATGCACCTTAGAGTCATTTTTGATACCAAGCTAACGTTTACTGAGCATATACTCAATATCTCGTCGGCTGCCACTCGACTACTTGGTTTCTGTATCAGAAACTGGAAGGGTTTCTCCAATGTTGATACATTAATGACTTTATTTTTTACTTTTGTCAGGAGCAAGTTGGAGTATGCGACTCTGATCTGGTCTCCTATATACCAAAATTCTGTCGTGATCCTTGAGGCCATTCAACGTAAAGCTTTAAAGTATTTTCACCTTAAATGCACATGTTCTTATCCAGAAAGAGGTTGTGACCGTAGTGCCCTATTAGCGTTTTTCAATTTGGATTCACTGTCAACAAGACGAAACATATTTGCTTTGTCGTTTTTGTATGGCCTCATTCACAATAAAATTGACCGTCAAAATTTACTTGAAAAAATATGTTTCCGCGTTCCAAGGCTAGGGAGTCGACAACAAACGGCATTCTATTGTCAAGCTGGCCGTACAAATGTTATGACAAAATCGCCAATTAATCTCATGTGCTGCGTCATGAACAGTGTTACTGAATCGTGTGATATTTACAGTGACAGTTGTGCATCGATTATTAACTGCTATAGATCATCCAATCTTATTTAGAATGTGTGATACTATAGATTTAAGTCCAAGAACGATGTCTCTTTAATTGTTATTGTTGTCAGCGTTTCCTGTAATTGGGTTTCACCTGTTCGAAATAAATAAATAAATACGTAACGACAAAGTTTTCGAGACTGCCACACACAACTAAAAAACGTATGTCTTTGAGCTTACCGAACAAGCGTTCACACCGGGGTAGGTTGCATGTGTATGTATATATAACTATATTATGGCTTGGCCTAATGGCTCCTCTTCACAATCGGCGATTACAAACGATCGTGTAGAGGGCATACTCGGCTGTACTCGCCGATCATCGTCTATGATCGCCTTGGACCCGTGAATTGTCGGTCTCCGGGCACGCATCCAAGCGAATCGCCGGGTCATATTGATGCTTGCCGTTTGACAAACTATTATGGATGCTTGTGTGGATGTTTGCACGATGAACGACCACAAGATCAACGTTCATCCTCGATAGTGAAAAGCAGGCATACAGTTTCCGACTTCTGGGGCACATATTGCGTCTCGGGCTTGGCAACATCGCATGTAGCGCCTGTGGCCGTTCTCAGCGGCTAGCTCGGCGCTGTGCGGCGTTCCGTCTGTTCTGGTCGATTCGTTTCACCTAATATTTCAGAAAAATAAATTCCCTTATATGGGCGAGCGGCGGTAACGCGGCGACTTGGATGGATTTACTTTATTGACTCTGAATCTCGAGAGCAGCCATTATGGCGCTGACATGCTAACAATTATATTCATATTTTACGAGCGCCGCTCTTCTGTACACGCTCCTTCTATGAGGCAGCGGATGGGAATCTTTCCAAGCAGCCCCCTATTTACGTCTTATTTGTCCACTTGGTTACAGATGCATCTTTCGCGGATCCAAGAATATAATTTGATTTATCTCCATGTTTGATGTATATGTTGGAGACGAGACGTCGACATACTGAAACTTCAATGATTCGAGCATCAAAGTTACAATTCCGATCGTAAAACTAGATTCATAAAAAATACTAGTACACTTGCAGTTGTAGTTGATTTTGTAAATTATATCTCAAATGTAATAACATCGGCAATAGAAAAAGAAAGACTATATAATGTAATGAAACTAACGCCAACTACAGAGAATACCGACTGCTACAACCAATATAAAAATTAAATTATAGAGCTTGTAAGGCAAACCAAACGAAAACATTACCTAAATAAATTGAATAATAACTTAAATGATCCTAAGCGGCTTTGGACAACTATTGATGAGATTACTGGGAAAACAAAATTTAAAGAGTGTGTCACTGAGTTAAATACAACATCGGGAACAGTATTAAAAAATACTCAACAGATATGCGATGAATTTGTACAATTCTTTACTGACATAGGCGAAAATTTAGCAAGTAATATACAAGCAAATGTACAAAATACTCAGCCTCCAAAAAGAACTTTGAACTCATTTATTTTGGATAAAGTCGAGCAATGTGAAGTATACACCACTGTTATGTCCTTAAAAAATCGGAAAAGTCCTGGGTTCGATGGTATTAAAAGCGAGCATTTGAAAATTATAGCCGAGGACATAACAGAACCA